ATTATTTTATACGTAGGGTCTCCACTCCCTAGTCTCCTTTTGCCAACATAAGGTCTCCACTCCCTAGTTGAGATTATTTTAGACGTAGGGTCTCCACTCCCTAGTCGCCTTTTGCAACATAGGGTCTCCACTCCCTACTTGAGATTATATTAGACATAGGGCCTCCACTCCCTAGTCGCCTTTTGCCAACATAGGGTCTCCACTCCCTAGTTGAGATTATTTTAGACATAGGGTCTCCACTCTCTTGTCGCCTTTTGCCAACATAGGGTCTCCACTCCCTAGTCGCCTTATGCCAACATAGGGTCTCCACTCCCTAGTCTCCTTATGACAATATATGATCTCCACTCCCTAGTTGAGATTATTTTAGACATAGGGTCTCTACTTCCTAGCCTCCTTTTGCCAACATAGGGCTCCACTCCCTAGTTGAGATTTTAGACATAAGGTCTCCACTCCCTAGTTGCCTTTTGCAGACATAGGGTCTCCACTGCCTAGTTGAGATTTTAGATATAGGGTCTCCACTCCCTAGTCTCCTTTTGCCAACATAGGATCTCCACTCCCTCGTCACCTTTTGCCAACATAGGATCTCCACTCCCTCGTCACCTTTTGCCAACATAGGGTCTCCACTACCTAGTTGAGATTTTAGACATAGGGTCTTCACTTCCTAGTCGCCTTTTGCCAACATAGGGTCTCCACTCCCTAGTTGAGATTTTAGACATAGGGTCTCCACTCCCTAGTTGAGATTTTAGACATAGGGTCTCCACTCCCTAGTCTTCTTTTTCCAACATAGGGTTTCCACTCCCTAGTTGAGATTATTTTATACATAGGGTCTCCACTCCCTAGTCGACTTTTGCCAATATAGGGTCTCCACTCCCTAGTTGAGATTTTAGACATAGGGTCTCCACTCCCTAGTCTTCTTTTTCCAACATAGGGTTTCCACTCCCTAGTTGAGATTATTTTATACATAGGGTCTCCACTCCCTAGTCGACTTTTGCCAATATAGGGTCTCCACTCCCTAGTTGAGATTTTAGACATAGGGTCTCCACTCCCTAGTCTTCTTTTTCCAACATAGGGTTTCCACTCCCTAGTTGAGATTATTTTATACATAGGGTCTCCACTCCCTAGTCGACTTTTGCCAATATAGGGTCTCCACTCCCTAGTTGAGATTTTAGACATAGGGTCTCCACTCCCTAGTCTTCTTTTTCCAACATAGGGTTTCCACTCCCTAGTTGAGATTATTTTATACATAGGGTCTCCACTCCCTAGTCGACTTTTGCCAATATAGGGTCTCCACTCCCTAGTTGAGATTTTAGACATAGGGTCTCCACTCCCTAGTCTTCTTTTTCCAACATAGGGTTTCCACTCCCTAGTTGAGATTATTTTATACATAGGGTCTCCACTCCCTAGTCGACTTTTGCCAATATAGGGTCTCCACTCCCTAGTTGAGATTTGAAACATAGGGTCTCCACTCCCTAGTCGCCTTTTGCCAACATAGTGTCTCCACTCCCTAGTTGAGATTATTTTAGACATAGGGTCTCCACTCCCTAGTCGCCTTTTGCCAATATAGGGTCTCCACTCCCTAGTTGAGATTTAGACATAGGGTCTCCACTCACTAGTCGCCTTTTGCCAACATAAGGTCTCCACTCCCTAGTTGAGATTATTTTAGACATAGGGTCTCCACTCCCTAGTTGAGATTATTTTAGACATAGGGTCTCCACTCCTTAGTCACCTTCTGCCAACATAGGGTCTCCACTCCCTAGTTGATTTTTAGTATAGATATAGGACTCCGCTCCTCGCTCCCCAATCCATTTTTCTTAAGGATACACAATCCTGGTTTTGTTGCTTTCAGTAAAAAATTAGTTTAGAATTTTGTTACAATAACTTACGAAATTTTCCTAGTGAAAACTGGGGCAGAAATGTTCCGTCCGTTTGCTTGTTTTGGTGTCTGAGAAGGTTTTACCTCGACGCACAGGGTTTGACACGACCAAAGAAGGAGTCTCAATCCAGAATAAAGAAGAAAAAGAAGAAAAAGAAAAAGAAGTGAACTCAAAGTGCAGAAGTGGAAAAAGATGTGGACTGCTCAAGATATAATTGAAGTCACAAGCTTCGTATGTCCCGACTTGATTCGAAAAGCTGAAGAAGAAAGAACCAGCACCTACAGCTAACAAGCATCAAGATTCAGATCAGAGTCCACATGAAGAATGAACCAAGACTCAAGATCGAGCTTCAGATGACTCTTAGATAGGAATATTGTAACTCGTAGCTGATAGGCTTAGTAGTCTTTTTAATTTCTGATTTTGATGCAATAACGGGGGACTGTGGACCAGAACTCGACGGAACGGCTCCTCGATCGGCTTTCCACCTATGTATACTTCATCGTCTCACTCACCTCTGAACTACATGTGGTCTGATTCCTTTATATCCAACGATATATAGGCAGCTCAGATACCAGGGCTCGGTCACATTCACCTTTCTTTTGGTCGCTTTAAATAAGGGTCGGGTAAAAAAAAACCTATCTAGTCATTCTTTGTCTAAAAACTTTTCGCATTTCCAGTCAAAGAGGGGCAGCTGTAGACATGTGATTTTTGACCCTCACCAAGATTTTTCATATTTTAGCATGTAAATAATTAATTTAGGCCTAATATAGCTATTTCAACTAACTTTTACTCTTTTACTTTATTTTATTACAAGAAAAATGAAAATTACAAAAATTGTTCAATTAATGTTTTGTAGTCATTTTTAATCTTGAAAAATACCCAAAAAATAGTTTATTTTAACGGTCAATCTTATTTTAATAGTTGTTTTACTTAAGTATGATTAATTAATAAATGAGATCACTTTTTTATCTCGTTCGCAAGGAAAGAATAAAACTTGGGCTCGACCAACCCATTTTTAGGCCTAATTTTGGACCTAGCCCATAATTCGCAAGCCCATAATTTCTAGGATCATACCCCTAACCTAATCCCTACCCCTATATAATAGTACCTAATCCCTAAATTGACACACCTAAAACACTGATCGGTCATTTCTCTCGAAAAGATCAAAGAAAAAGCCAAAAATATTTCAAAGCAAAAGAATGAAACAATGAGCTAGACAACAAAAAAGGGACGTCAGCCAAACGTTTGAAATTTTCTTCTCAAAAAACCCTTTATTCAATTGGGGATTCTTCATATAAACACATAGTGACATAGCAAAAGAAACTTGGGGATTTTGTGGTGAAGGGACGAATGGCAAAAACGGAGGACGGACGTCGGATTCAAATCCTTTGATTTTTGTTTCGAATGTTAGTTTCTTCTTCTGATTGTCGATTTAAAACCCTGGAATTCGGCAAGTTTGAGTTTGAGTCAGGTTTGAGTTCACGACGAGGTTCTGTCCATGGTTCCGATGAGGCCCGTTGTGGAGTTTTATCGCGGTTCCGGTGGGTTTTCTGGTCTGGTTCGAGGTTTCATTTTTGGTGGCTTTTGTTTGGTCGAGTTAAACATCAAAGGTCCACTCACTCCTCTCTAATTTGAGATCTGTTAATTTCTTTATTTGGTATTGAATTGATTCATGGAGCTTTCTGCTTATTTATCTTATTCTGGATATTAATGAATACTTTGTCTTCTTAACTTAATCTATTTGTTTTAAAGTTTATTTTCTCATTAGGCAACTAAGATAGACAAACTGTTAAAGATCTAATTGTTGTGTGGTTTGGGAAACGATACTAAAGGAAAAAGAAAGTTTTGCCCATTAATAATTTATTTGATTTTTATCTTGTTTAATTTGATCGTTGTGAGAACACTTAGGCCGTTAATATTCATAAACATCGTAGCTTACTTTAGGCGCGATCAATAATAAATTACCGTGGCCACAGGTACGGTTCCCATGGCATGGTTACGATACCCGAATCTCAATTCGGGGGTGCATTTCATGTGACCCGATTATAACAACTTCTAATAACAATACATTTTTAAATAATTTGAGGCGTGTCATGCCAAATAAAACCCCTAAGCCCATGGCCCTCACAAAACTAGTTAGCTCTTATAAAAAATTTGAGGTGTGTCATTTTTATTAAATAACACATGGCCCTTATGTAATTAATACTAACTCTTTAAAAACCGAGGTCTGCCATCAATTGAAGTTTTAATGGCCCTCGCAAACCTTGTTATTAATTTGAAATCTCGTAGTTGCTTTTGGCGCGCTATTTAAATTGATTTCCTTTATTTATTAAATTCGGGTGTGCATTTCATGTGACACATTTTCAATTCTCAACAACGTTAAATAGAATGTGTCATGGACTGCGGGTGCATTCCATGTGGCGTGGTTCAAGGCGTGTTTTAAATAATGTTGAATCTTCTAAAATTAATCAAAAGCGGTTAATAAGCTAAAAATGCACCATCGGCTAAAACATGTAGTAAATCAGATAATAGGCCAATTATAATAGTTTAAGCGACAGTGCTAGAACCACAGAATCCGGGAATTCCTAACACCTTCTCCCGGGTTAATAGAATTCTTTACTTAGAATTTCTAGTTCGCAAACTTCAAAAGGAAAGTCGAATTTCCTCGATTTGGGATTTAAAAATAAACCGGTGACTTGGGACACCAATTAAAATATTCCAAATGGCGAGTTTGAAGAATTAAATAAATAATCCCATTTCGAATAATGTCACTTTAATTGGAAAAACTCTCTTATATTCCCCCTCGGGTGTGTAAAAAAGAGGTGTGACATGTATCAGTGTGGATTAGGTTTTGGTTTGATGGCGGCGGCTAGGGTTTGTAGGAGTTTCAGAGAGAGTTGAGAGAGAAGAGGGATTCAAGGGCGGCGGTAGGTCAGAAATGAGATAGGTTTAGGGGTCGTTTGGGGTTAAAAGGGGAAAGGGAGAACAGGAGCCGTTGATCTAAATGATTAACGGCTGGGATTAAAGGGGTTAGGTGGGGAGTCTGGGTTCAAGTTGCAATTGGGTTGGGAAATTGGGTCTGATTTGGGCTAAATTTCAGGCTATAATTGAAATGAAATTGGGCTATCATTTAAATAGTCATTTTCCCTATTTAAAATTTAAAAAATAGTAAATTAATTTCTAAAAATAAATTAAAAGTATTAAAATGATTGATGACATATAATTATTAATTTAAAAATACAAGACTTCATTTTCATGTGTATGAATGCAATTAAATCCTAAAAGAGGCTAATATTGCAATTATGCAATTTAGCCTTTAAAAATACTAAATACATTTGTAAGAATACGAAAAAATTATCTTAGCTACATTTTAGCAAAAATGCGAAAGTCCAATAAACTAATTACCAAAAATAATAATTTTGAAAATGATTATTGGGTTTTTATGGATAAAATAGGGAAATAAATTGATTTAAAAATCTTTAAAAATTTAAAAAAATAATACAATATTTGAACATACTTATATATGCATACATATGTTATTTTGAAGGTATTTGCATATTGAAAAATACATAGAGAAAAATTTGGTATCAACAACTGCCCCTCTTTACCCAGGAAGGATGAAAGAGTTGTCGGGTAAAGATATGATGATCAATTTTGACCGAATGAAACGGTTCGAAGAAGTTAGGTCGCGCCCTGGCCTCTGAGCTGCCTACATATCCCCGGTTTTACAAGAATCAGGCCCTATGTAGTTCAAGATCCGTCGGCGGAGTATGCCAATGGAGACTCTTCAAGAACGGACGCAATACCCAAGATGGGGTGAGTGGGCGGCTTGCGAGAATGGTCAAGGTTTGATATGGCTACAGGAATTGGAGCGGGCTGGCACCTACCGGGATGGCCGTTGCTTGCCGGTATACCTGCAATTAGAAACAATACAGGTGTATACTGTGCATGAATTTAAACATGATGCAAGTTCCCGTCGGACTATGAATGTTGTCTTTGGATGGTTAGGATGATGTCCTGGGTCATGAAGCATGCAATAAGCATTCGTAGGTTATGAAATGATGCTCTCGGGCTATGAGGATGGTGCCTCTGAACCATGATGCCTTTGAATAATGATATGCAAAAGATTAAAAGGGATCCTCAGGCCATGACATGGTGTTCTCGGGCTATGAAAATGGTGCCTCCGAACGATGACGTCTTTGGATAATTTGGCGATCTTTCAGCCCATGAGATGCAGTACGTGGAGATCTTTTAGCCCATGCGGATGTAGTATGAGGCGATCTTTTAGACATGCGGATGCAGTATGAGGCGATCTTTCAGCCGTGCGAAGGCGATCTTTTAGTTATGCAGATGCAGTATGCGGCGATATTTTAGCCATCCAATGTAGTATGAGGCGATCTTTCAGCCCATGAGATGCAGATGAAGGTAGAGATTAACCTCATAAGGTAGAGTGGTAGCCCTATGCAATGCAGAAATGCAGATGGAGATAGTGTTTAGTCTCGAAAGGCAGAATGGTAGCCTTATGCAATGCAAAAAATGCAGATAGATGTAGAGCTTAACCTCGAAAGGCAGAATGGTAGTCTTATGCAATGCAAAAATGCAGATGGAGGTAGAGTTTAACCTCGAAAGGCAGAATGGTAGCCTTATGCAATGAAAAAAATGCAGATGGAGGCAGAGCTTAACCTCGGAAAGCAGAATGGTAGCCTTATGCAATGCAAAAATACAGATGGAGACAGCGTTTAGTCTTGGAAGGCAGAATGGTAGCCTTATGCAAGAAATAAAATGGCAAATGGTGATAGAGCTTTCTTAGCTGATAGCAGATTGCGATATTGTGACTGCTGGGGACATTGTGACACACGGAATGTCATTGGTGTGTGTGGATAGTAAATGTTGGTAAGTGAAACGGTTCCGAGAGTTGTATTCCCGAACAATGTTTGTCTCGTGAGTGTATAGTATGTTTGATTATTTTGTAATCCAAGTGCCTGCATCCAAAGAAAAATCGTGAGTTTTGTACCCTGCTGTCTTTTGCTTGACCTACTTGGCTCTAATCTGGTGATACTGTATGTATTATTGGGGTAGCGTTGCTAAACAAAGCAATTTCAGTAATATGCATGATTTGTAAAAATATGATATAATAATATTTAGATGAACCGA